GCTGAGAAATTATATTTGAACACAAGCTTTAATAGCATCATCTCTATATTGACATCTATATATGCTTTAAAGCATTATAACGTGTGTAAGAAACTGACCATTGGTGAATTGAAGTAATTTTGTATAGTATAATTCTAATGCAGAAGTCCACATAATTTTTTAATTCCAATTTGAATTTTCTCAAGAGTTTCTTTTCTGATTATGTGGTATATCTTGTATATTAAGTTTTTGAATTGCATGAACACACTGTGAAAACATTTAAATTTTAAACTTGTCATTTCAATTAAGGGAAATCATTGTAAATAATATCAACATGATTGTGTGGGAACAACAGATTTTGTAATTTTATCCTTCTTTTAGGAAACCAAAACTTCAACATTTTCTCCATGGATGCCTAGGTGCTATTAATTCCTTCCTCACATCAATTAAACCAAATGTATTTCAGAAGTACTGAGGAGGAAAGGAACGTATTAATAATTTTATCTCTGTAATGTATTAGTAGTCAGAATCATGATGGAACTACGTAAAAATATGGCATAATTTAACTTTTTAAACCAGAGAGCCTAGTTTAAAAGTGAATATGATTAAGAATATTTTTTCTTTGCCTAAAGATCACATCGTCTATATTAAAATACATCAATTTACTGGACTGTTACAGTTTCTCATCTTTATATTTGAGAAAAAGTCACATGTCAGCAAAGATTTATTTTTATAAGCACTTGAAAATTTAGCTAAGGTACATTCTTTGAATTTAATATGTAAGCATTTTATTTCTGTAATCTACCTCACAGTGAAAAATAATATAAAAGAAAACATTATCTCTCTAGATCTTAGTCTAGAAGCCATGTATCAAGCTATTGGCATCTTTAAAATTTAATTACAATAATTCAAAGATACAATTATAGTCAAGAGTTCAGAATATAAACAGAACAATGCAATAAATATCTATTTGTGAAAGTCAACCAATTAACAATCTATATCTTGTCAATAGCAAAACTACTATGGAGATTAGAAGGAAACAAACAAATGTACCATGCAGGACCTTTCTCTTTCTTTCTGTTCAAAAGGACCCTGAGGAAGGCAACTGTATATTTCTCTGACCTATTGGAATAGATTCCCTATCATCAATCACAATATTACAAGTAAATATTTAAAAACACTAATTATGACTGTAACAAGAGTTTTATTGCCAGAAATTATATTTTTATATCAGTAAATAACTACTAATTTCCTGATTTATTTCCACACAATGTCTAAAACTCCTGCTATGCTTATATATAGAAAAAAATTTACTTATTTTATTCAATGATAAAATGTATTATCAATTGGCATAAAGGTAAATGCAAATAACAGAGTTGCAAATCAGCCAACTTTTATTACTGTACCACTTTGTTCATTCAGTATCACCAAGGGATGAAGTATGCATATAAGGGAATGTTCTGAATATAGACAACCCTCTGTACATATGACAAATTTGACTTGTGTTGATTTGTATTTTTGCTGTTCAGCTGACTATGCACAGTCAACATGTTGCCAGCAGGCAGGCAGCACACATATTAAGGTCCATCAGTCAACCTACTTCCTGGTGTTTGCTACAAGCAGCACCCGAGGAACCCCTCTCAATCTGACCATAAAAATGGCTGTCCTTCACAACTTCTCCACCTCAGGACTTTGTCTTTAGCACAAGCCTTGGTCCAACCATGTGATTTTGGTCAAGCTGCAAAGGGGGATCTAAGAAAAATTTTTTAAAGTAAGAAAACTGTGGAAAATAGCTAAGACACGAGGTACATGTACTCCCACGGATGTTTCCCCAGCATCCTTCCCAATGAAAGAATTATGACTTCAGCTTCATCTTTGTAAATTTAAAGTGTAAGCGGGTACAGAACATTTGACCTGCCCTTTTTAGACCTTTCACCACAACCCATTGCCCAGCACTACACATGGGAATGCAATCCCCTTATCTTTCCCAGGGTTACATTGCAAACCCTGTGTTGTACTCTACAATCAGTATTTACTCCCTTTCCCTTCCCATTTCCCACTTCCATCTTTTAAAATTAAAGTTCTGGATGCCTAAGGGGGTATCCCCTTTACTATACCAAATTCTCCTAACTAAAACATTCTTGTTTCTCCTTCATTCCAGAATTAAAACTTGATTGGCAGGCAGAAATCTACCCTTTATTCCATTCAATCACTTAAAATACCTGCATAAAATAAAAAATTATTGCGAGGGCAGCACTCTGCCTTCATCCAACAAAATATTAGCCTTGTGCTCAAAATAGAAAATGTATGATTTTATGGAACCAGATTGCTGTTCAGCATGAATTATTGAGTTCTGATTTTCTCCAAGATTCATTCCATTCATGTCGTTATCTTTATGAGAGAGGAGTCAGCATCACATGACTAAAACTAAGAAAGGGGTGGGGATAACTGTTGATTTACTCTAACATTGATTATTATCAGGTAAGGGGCACATATGAAAGAAGGTAAATACACCCAAATGTAAATTAGGGACAACGCTATTCCTTCTCACAGATGATTGCTGATAGGGGCAATTTATAAAGACCTTAAAGAACCATGTCCTCTAATTAAGTATGTATAATAATTATTTGAAAGTACTCATCCCAGCCTTGTTCATAATAACAGAAAATAATTTTAATATCTAACAACAATAAGGTACTAGTTAAATAAATTATATCCACGATTTGGAATATTCTTTAGCCATTAAACTGACTTTCCCTATAAGAAATTCTCTCTAATGTTTATACCATGATTTTTTAAAAAATTCTCTCACATGGACCTTGTGATTTAAATAGTTCTCTGAGAGATTTTTAGCCACTTCCCAGATACTTTCTCAGACGCCACCCTAAATCAAATGCAAGTCATTATCTCCAGGCAGCCAAATTAATAATTCATTGCAGATTCTATCTGAGGACTGAGAATTTGGTAACAGCTGCCTTTGTTCAAAATATTTGAAGTTGGTCTGCCATTTTGTTTTGGCTTCAGTGATACAGGACATTTTGGATGTTTTTCAAAAAGATGACTTTGGAGAATCTTTATTAACATTCTTGCCTCAACATAGGTAAGCAGGAAACTTTTTTCCCCCAATTTATTTGTTTACTTTCTTTTTTAAAAAATGTCAGAATATTAGGGGGATACAAAATTTTGGTTACATATATTGCATTTGCATTGCCCAAGCCAGAGCTAAATGCGTGCCCATCCCCCACACAGTGTACTCCGCACTCATTAGTTATGAGTTCACCCATCCCCACCACCCAGCCCCATCCCCAGAACCTGATGAATATTACTTCCATGTGAACACCTAAGTGTTGATCAGTTAGTATCAATTTGATGCAAGTACATGTGGTGCTTGTTTTTCCATTCTTGTGATACTTCACTTTGAAGAATGTACCACAATGAGATATCATCTAATGCCAATGAGAGTGGCTTTTATCAAAAAGTCCCTAATTAACAAATGCTGGTGAGGATGCAGAGAGCTAGGAACACTCTTACACTACTGGTGGGACTGCAAATTAGTACAACCTCTGTGGGAAGTAATTTGGAGCTATCTCAAAGAACTAAAAATAGAAATACCATTTGATCCAGCAATCCCGCTACTAGGCATCTACCCAAGGGAAACTCTTAATATATTAGTAAAACTTCTCAAATCTTTCTCTCCTATCAAATCATGAAAATTATTCTTTGTGTTACGGGCTATATTTAAGTGGAAGACAAGGACTTAATACAAAAGTTGACACCTAATGCCTCTGCTTACTACTTGGAAATTCCCATTGATAAAATTATGATAGCATATCATAGAACAATGAATCAATTTTACAAAAGTAGCTTACATTCTCTGAAAATCACCTAAAATTTGTCTTTCAGGAGATGCTTACAAAGACACACAAAACACATAAACAAAAATTTTGATATTGATGAAAATCAACCTTTACTCACAATTGTTATGTTGAAATAAGACTGGAAATTTTATTTAAAATACACATAACTGCTTGATATTTGAAGCAGCTCTTTATCAAACTAATTTTTCTTTAGAAAGACCAAATTAGATATTTTATTTTTACATGTAAAAATGTTTCTAGGAATATAAACCACTAAATGTATATGTTGCCTTTTAGTATCAAAAGAATTAAAAGATTTTTCTGGGAGCATGAATGATTTGGGGGTTATAGAGAAAATTCTAAAAGAGTCTTGTTTCTATAACAATGAAATAATATAAATTTGCTAATTGTCCTTATATTGTCATTGTATCCAGAATTCAGTAATAAAGGGAGTCCGATCTTATTCATTTATTCTTTCAATATTTGTGTACTAAGCCTCAGTGCCCACTGCTATTGCTGACATTGGGAATTCAAAGGTCTATGATGAAATGTCCAACATAAATAGACTCATAAATATCTAAAAGTTTTAAATATAGAATATCAAAAGTGAAATCATATAGGTAAATCACAAGGTAAATCTAGGGAATATGAGGAATCTATTCAACTTATTTGCTAGAACTCAAATAATTTAAGATGATATATTTTAGTTCTGGGCTTCATTAGACATAATATTGTAAGGAACCCATAATTGGTTCATTCTATAAAATATTTCTAGAAAACTAGTGTTCTGAATTATATTTAGACAAAACTGGAGGGAATCTATTTCAGAGAAAGGTTGCTCAAATAAAAAAATTTTCCTCACCTCTGAAAACTAAAAGAGGATTTGTAGCATTGTTTTTGTTGTATCGTTCAAATAAATTTATTATTGTTTTAAAATCAATACGAAACTTTTTATGTGAAGAACTGATATTGCTTAAGGAAGATTCCATTGTTGGTTTTGTCATGGAAATTTATATGTTTTTGTAAGTAACAATTTTGAAGAACATCAGGAATAAACGATGCCAGGATTATTGCCAAGTTTACATTTGTCTCCTCAGTTTCTCAACTGAAATTGATCTGCACATCAAAACTCCAAATTTAGGTTTGTTTCATTCATTTTTGTAGCTCATTTTTGAAGGTATTCGAGGTCCTGGCATAGAAGGTGACATTGCCATCGACGATGTATCAATTGCAGAAGGAGAATGTGCAAAACAAGACCTAACGACTAAGAGTAAGTGTCTTTTCTTGGGACTGGTTTGATGTGATGATAAAGTAACATAACTACTATTAAATTACTATATTCCAAATTTAAAAAACAAACTTATTTTTACTTTATTTAGATATTTCTTATATCTAAGACCCTAAAGTTTTGGAGGTATTTTTAACTTAAGGTATTAAATTCAATTATAGACATAGTTGACCTAAGATAAAATGGAATTATTTTTGATTTGAATTGATGTAAGGAAAGGCTGCTTTGATTTTTAATTATTTTATTTTATTTTATACTATTTATTTCTGAGAATTTTTAAATTTTTTAAAAATATCTGGCAAATCTATATACTCAGCACACATTTATATAACCATAAATGTTTTTATTCCCTCAACAGTTTATGAATATATTTTCTAGATCTAACTTTGCCAACCATTTTTGTCAAAATGGTTAAGGATTTTTTGTAAAGACTCTTAAAGTGTGTGTGTGTGTGTATACATATATATATATACACATATATATATGTGTATATATATATATATGTGTGTATATATATATACACACACATATATATAATGTAATGAAATAACTCTATTTATTTTCTGATATAACTTATCTCCTTTTATCTACCCGCAACGTAGTTTAATAATTTGGTTTTCACTTTATATTGTGGTTTGAATATTAAGGTTTAATGATATTTTGTTTTTGTTTTTGTTTTTTGTGTTCATTTTTTAATAGAAGATTTATAAATTAGAAAAAGGTAAATAATTCAAAAAAATTTAGAATTATGTGTTGAGATGCTTCTTGAAATCTTCATCTTCATATTACACGTTTGAAGCTAAGAAGACTAACATCATTCCTATTAAAAATGACTGCACTTGAAGGACTTTAATTTTGTAGCTATGTAAAGTGGTAGTAATCAAGCTAAAATTATACAAATAACTCAATTATTTAGCATATACAAAAGCATGAAAATACTTGTTACATAAGTCTAGAACAAATCAGAGTCTTTGCTAATTTACTATATTTGGTGAGAAATGATATCGGTCTACATGTTAAAAGTCAAATTTGTACAACTATTCACTGATTGCTCATGTAAACTGAATTGACTCCATTTTTAAGCATTGTAAAAGGACAAAAACTAAGATTATGTATAACAATGAGCCATTTTGCTCATAGTTTCTTGTCATTACCCGTAGCATTTCAAATAACACATTTAGTAAAAATTTCTCCCTGCTGCTGGCTAATTCTGCTTTAGGAAACCAGACACTACACCCAAATGAACTAGGTTTGTTTAATGCACAGAAAAACATGCATTCTCCTAAGAGGAGAATGAGATTCCTTTTGAATTTCTAACTGAAGGTCATTAAAATTTTATATGAAATGTTATATTTTCATAATTTAATAACAAAGAAATATCATAAATTAATTTTGATAAATTGAGTTAAACTTTCCGTAGTAAGAAAACAAGAGAAAATAATTTACTTCCTAGAGGAGAATGCATAACTGATAAGAGTAGCCACAGTAAAATCACCATGAAAGCCCATAGGGAACCTCATTACTACACCATAGAACATTTTTATAATCAGTTTTTTTCTCTTTAACTAATAAATCCACGGAAATGTGTGGCAGTTTTAAATAAGATATATCTATATTTATTGGAGGTATTTTTATTTAACCTCTATAAATCAGGAAAAAGAATCCTAATTGAACAAAAATATTCTATTTAGTATGAGAAAGTATTCTATTAAATTTGTGTCTATTTAATTATCATTTATTAAGTTCATTTTGAAGAATAGCATTTGTTTCATGAATATGAAACTAATGTTGAAATTAATGTTAAAATTAATGTTGAAATTATGTTGTGTTCAGCCTGACAGACACAAGCATTTTCCTAACTGCTTGGGTTCCCAACCTTTCCCAGGCAGTAAATGGTACTATGTACCATACCATCAGGAGCTAAAATTATATGACTCTATTCTAAAAGCTTGGCTTTCTCCTAGCCATGAGCCATGTTGTAACTTTACCTAGGTTAATGATTTGGAGATGCTTGTGTTAGCTCCCTAGGTAAAATATGCATTTTAAGAGGAATTATTTGGACACAAGGCTTTAACTAAAATAACAAGTTGCTGTAGGACTCTCAAGGTAGATTGGTGGAAGGGATTTTTCAGTTAGAATGGACTTCATAGTGCTTCTAAAAGTTAAACTGAAGAGGAAATTATTTACACAATTTATAAATAATGGACTGCTGTAAACATAATCTACTAGTTGCAATAGTTAATTTATCTACCAATAAACCATCCCTCTCTAATTTTCATTATGAACAATTTTTCTCTTAGTCTCCAAGCTTAAATGCTTCTGGAAGCTTGAAAAAAATAAAATAAAAGCTCATCTTTTTAAGATTTTTAAACATCTTCTCAATGTGCATGCTTCCATATGTCTAGCAGAACTCTGAGGTTGAGCTCAACGGCAAACCTACATGAATATCTTATAAATAAGTTTACATATCATGTTGTATCAATTTGAAATACGCAAATATTTTTATTTTATCAGATGTCTTGCCATATATTCAAGTTATTTTCCTTTTTACTTGCCTTAGCAATGAAGCTGATAAACGAAACTAAACAAAAATATATATTTTCCAAAAATATTTTCCATAAACTTGTTTTGTCACTCCACCAAAGTTGTGTTAATAGCTATGTAGAGTGCTTATTCTCCTTTATTTTATTTTTTGGCATTTATTTTCCTTATCTTTAGATTCCGTCGATGGTGCTGTTGGGATTTTGGTTCATATATGGCTTTTTCCGGTTATCGTCCTCATCTCTATCCTAAGTCCTCGAAGGTGACCTTATCCTGGCAGAGGCTATAAAAGATTCACCAGGCACTGGCATGAAGAAAGAGTCTTTGTAAATGGACATTGAAAAACAAACTACCAAAGATTCCTCCACTGACTACTGACTCAAAAATAAAATAATAAAAACAAATTTTTTTAAGCACTGGGGATAAAAAGACATCATGGAAGTATAACTTATTCCAAACTACACATAAAAGATAATCTTGACCTGAGTAGAGAAGAGACCTTCAGGTGCTTTTGTGGCTAAAAAGATTACAGCATCATCTGGTTGAACTCTGGAAAAAAAAAAAAAAAAGAAAAAAAAAAGAGCTATAGAAATCCTTGTCAAAGCACAAAGTCACGGCTGGTTTTGTTTCAAATGAATAGTTTGCTTGTTACCATGGAAACCTAATGGCCTGCCAACAAAAACCTCACTGTAAACAGGGTACGTGAAGAGCTGGCATTTATTTTCCTTTTGAGAAGGTTTTACGTAGAGAATTAAATAAATGTAGGCCCTTTTACCTTTGGCTGTTACCCTTCCTTGAAAACAACCCGAACTCAGAATTATTTAAAGCATTCATGTTCCTCCCCACCTTAGCCCCAACCCACCTTTATTATTATTATTTTTTCTCCCATGGCTAAGCTAGATAACTGTATGCTGTCTCTTTTTGCATGCACTACTATCCAGGATGGTAAACCTGGGCTTACATACTACACAGGCTTATCGGAGTTTGCTTGCGGCCACTTGAACACCCAAACTGCGTCATCTGTTCCAACGAAGAAACCAAACCACCATCTTTTATAAATTGCCATGGAAACCAAGTGCCTTCAATGAAACAAGCCTGAATAATTTTCAACTCAGAAGCTTGCACTGCTAAGAGTGGTTTGTGTAAAACTATTTTATAAACAAACTACAGAGCCTAAATGTGCAAATTACAGGCAAGACAACAAAGCCGCTTCTGAAGAAGAAAGGACGGAAGCTGCTGCGTAAGCCCATGCAGACAGGATATTTGTTGTTTAACCTCCTAGACAGCCATGGCCTTTCGGCTTATTGTCCATTAGAAAATAACTTCCATTGAGACCAGACATGGAGCAACACTTTTTTTTCTTCCAGGTTATTAAATGGGTCAACCAGAGCAAAAGGTTGTTAAGATAATACTTAGCGCAGAAGGTGGTAAAACACAAAAGTGATTTTTTACTCTAACCTCCATTTGAAATGAAATTGGCCCTAGCTTTAGAGGGAACAAGAAAATGTTTGTGATTGCAGTGCATACAAACTCTACAGCGGAACTGGGCCTGAAAAATCTGGCTTTATTCTAAACACTGAGGGTAATATGCCTCTGCCCTTTAGTCAGACTCTGTGCAAATTGTGAAATATTATTTTATTATTTTACCAAGATTAAAAAAACACTTTTACAAAAAAACAAAAACCTGTAAAAATGATTTTGAGCTACCTGAGGACAAATCATACCTTTAACCAGCCAGTTTTCCAATGCATTGTAAATTTCACTTAAACCTGTTGATTATGAAAATTTGAAGATCTTTTTCCTTAAATTATCTCAGCTTTTAACTTCATTTAAAAAGACTTTTGTCTAAAGAAGATTATTATTATTATTATTATATGTTCTTTCAACACCCCAGGATTAAAAAAACTGATTATGCAAATAATTGGGATATAAGTATTAAATTATAACATTTGCAAATATTAATATAAAAAGCACAACAAAATGTAGTGGAAAAATGACAAAGCTTGATTTTTAAAAAATAATTCTGTAGAAATGTTTGTGCAAATTCAGTAATTCAACTTAAAATATAATTTTACAGCTATGTTCAATAAAGCCTCTTTCCAGGTAAGGTATGACAAGCGGTACGTGTGTTTGTTGAGCAATGTTCACTGATCACTAAAATGAGATTAGTTATACAACTTATTGGTTATGTTACCATGGGATAAATCTTCAGTGCTTCATATATACTAATATCTTCAGGAAGAAATTTTAATAGGAACTCCCTGATGCACTCTCCTATATTTGTAATACATGTGAAAACAATGTTAAACCTTTGAAGGTAAAATATGAAACATATATAAACTTGGAGCTTAATGTATATTTTCATAGTTAAAAAGGGGACCAGTCTGAATATCTAGGTAGTGATAGAATTGAGCTAAACCAAGTCCTTTAAATTAAACAAAATAAACAAATGAGTTCCATAACTTATTTGAACAAATTAGACATACTGAAAATTTTGCAGAATTTCAAAGTCACCTATCTATTTTATCAAACCAAAGATATTCAAGTAAACAATATCTGGGGACTTAGCTTAATATTTACAAAAATCTCCCTTCACTCTGACTTCCATTTTGTGGCAACTAACCCATTCTCTCCACTATCCCATGTTAGTAGATTGCCCTTTTAAATTGATTTTCTACACTGTCATTGCTGATAATATCAATAAAAATATTTTAGATCTAAAAAGAGAGGCTTAACCCATTGCCTTCTTTCCTTGATCTTAAGTTGATTTGAATGAGGCTTTTGCAAAAAACTAAAAAAAAAGAAAAAAAAAACCTATATTCAGAATATTTGAATATATATGTGTCCTATCCAGGAAGACAATCAATTTTACTTTTCTCCTAAGTAATCCTTCACAAAGAAATTGCTATAAGGGAAAGTTTCAATCCTACTACTAAGCATTCATAAAATACTAAAATCTTTCCCAACCTCTCACACAGTAAGAATACACACAATGCTTCAGAAGTTGATGAGAACTGGCTGGTACTTCGAAAATTAATTTTAATTAAATTTTTGAGAAATTGCGGATGAATGTGAAGAACAAAGGGGTAATCAGAAATACAAAGCAATCAGACTTACTGAGATGGTAAATAAATTATATGTGTATCTCAAGTGGGTTCTGGATCATCTATGTAAAACAACAAACTGAATGAGAATCAATGTTTTTTACTTCAGATCAAATGTTCAGTGTCTGTAATTGAAAGTAAATGGATAAAATGGAGAAAATTTTAAGAGATTGAGATAAATGAAATTTAAATTTTGTTAAGTAGCCACTTCTTTAATATTAGTGATAATAATGACTTTAAAATATTTATACATTTAGCAATTGCCTTCCTTTTCTTAATTTTTTTGTATTTATTATGAATTAGGCTAACTATATTTCTTCTTTTCCATTTTGATAACACATCCAAAATGTAATTGATGCCAATATTTTTTATTCTTTTACAGGAAGGCATCAGGCAAGGGAGCTTTTAATTTACGTGGTATATTCCTTCTCCCAGAAATCTCCTACTGCCAGTAATTGATCCCAATTAATTAGAAGCATTACTTTACTTCATCAGTTCAAAGATGCTTGTTTCTCTACATTTTAACATCTCTGCAATTGGGCTTTTAATTACAATTGGCAGCATTTCTGTGTAGTGATATTTAAAATGCATCTTAGAACTAAGGGCAATCTTAGATATGATGAAATTCACTAAAATCACTGAAGTGACAAATAATGGCTAATATTACTACTTTTCAACAAACACAGAAGTGAGAAAAAGATACCCAATCATCTATGTGGGATTTATATTAAATGTTCATTGACTATGCAGTATTTAAAAGTGACATGACTTTTACTTTGTCCTTTTTAAAAATCTGAGTCATTTCCTTTGTACATTATATACATATCTAGCCTTGCTTTTTTTTTCTTTTTTCCTGCTACCTATTTTTTGTTCCATCACTAATTACAATATGCTATGTATCCCTGGATTAAAATGGTTCCTGGTTCCATGTGATTCACAGTCCTTATTAGGTCAGAAGTTTGGCCTGCCATTAAATTTTCTTTAAAGAAACTTGAAAGATGCATGGTACACAACATACCACAGTGTCATACAATAGGCTAAACTAATGGTATTTCATTTCACATATATCACAGAATTGACTTTGGCATGGCAATGAATTATGATAATTATAAATAATCCGAATTAGAACCCAGCTAGTCAGTTATATCATGTAATAAATAGTAAAAATAATCCCATTCTTTACTTTTATATTTTAAAATATGATGAAATACAAATTACAACTGTACTAACTTTTCACCAAACATGCATTTTTATTTTAAAGACTTTATAATAAACTTATATGTCAATAAAATGTGTAATTTGAAGAACAATTAATTCATTTAGTTATGTACTTAAGACTGTATGAAACTGGCTGTGGTATTTTTCATGATCTATTTTTGTTTCAATTAATGATTTGAAAGATGGTGACAAACTAAGCTGATTTTAAAAGACTGATTTCAGAGTATTCTTTGGAATGCATGTTCTTTACCTTTACCACAAACCTTTTTTTTTTTTTAATGTGCCTTTTAAAGATTAGGACCACTCAACAAGACATTTAAACTGGAAAAATTTTACCCCAAAATCATTTGCTTCTTGGTTGGTGACTACTTATAATTGCTTCATCTGTGTCTCACCAAAGCAGAAGGTCTACTCTTCTTGCAACTGGGTAGTTGATGTCAATGAGGAGTTATTGCATTTTCTGTGAAAACAATAAAATTATAGGGTTCAATCCCAAGCTATTTCCTGTCCTACAATGTTCCCTTTGTGACTAGCCAGTTTAATTAGTTTTCTTAGTGCTTATTTTTAAAAAAACAATGTCTGGGATTTTCTACTTCTACTTAGGAGAAAAGCTACCACAGAACAATCAGAACTTTTTTTCAAAACTAATATAAAAAGTTCTTTGCTAAATATCCATATTTATAAGTAAACATGTATGTTATTACATAGAAAAAAACTTAAAGACTTAAAATCTTAATGTAAAATATGTCAATTCAGAATCAATCCATCATATGTTCCATCATTTCTGCCTAGAAACAGAAGGGAGAGAGAGAGAGAGAAATAGTCCATATATTTGTATATGGATTACTATATTAACATGTATTAATTTAAAGCTTAGTAAATTATGAGTGGCCATTTCACTACCCTGAACCTACATTGAATATAATGAAATTAAGCAATTGGAATTCAAAATTTTGAGTAGGGCAGAGGTTAAACTTTGAGTAGAGACTGAAACAGTTTTCTCAAGGGAATATTTACAACTGATTGAATTTAATTTCAACTTTACTAATTTTCCGTGAGTTGAGCTGAAATGTATTCTTATTTTTCAATAAAACAATGGGAAATTCTTTAAAATAGGGGATAGCTTGTTAGTTTCAGTTTGTTTTTGTATGGCTCTTAATTGTTGTCCTGGATTTCCAGGATTTCATTTTTATTTCTTGAGTCTCCTCAGTATATTTAAATGTATAAGTTTAATTAAATAAACATTGTATTAAATTTATATTGAATATTAGTTACATTTGAGATCTTAAAGTTTAGATTTAACTAAATTTTCCTTTTGATATTTTTCTTCTGCTAAATAGTTTCAGATAGCTGTATGTTATTTTCCCTTGGATTTTTTTTTCAATAAATGAAATTATGTTAAATACTCTATTAGTGTTTTGGGGAAATTTCTGCTGTCAATAAGCACTTAAGTTAGAGACAAAAAGATATTTAGAACAGCAATTATGTTTGCAATTTAAGATGAAAATGCCATCATTTCTCTCACTATTGAAAAGCTTTTATAGACTCAACACTGCAGTGAGCACAATTAGCCCATTAAGATTTGTGTTGATTTTTACATCCTTTGTGAGGGATCATTTAGAAGATTGTGTTAAACAAGTAGGCACTAAAATCTTCCTGAATGAATGTGATTTAAGAATCATGACTCAATTTAATAACTCTGGGTTTCTGTGTGATATGTGAAATAATTGCAATTTAATGATGCTAATGTTATCCAGAAAGATACTTTTAATCATATATTTCATGGGGATACTTGTAGGCTAGCTGTGAGTCTTCTGGCAGAAACAAATAATACTGTTTGACAATGATTTGAGTGAACCAAAGTATAAAAGGAATCCTATAAATTAACTTGCTTATCATTGTTTACCTACTGTCGATTTAGCATAATTTTCTCTTTATCTTTGATATTATATCTTTAAATAAATCCATAAAATTTTGGAAAGACAGACACAATTAACACTAACAGATTCAGTAACCATGTTTGAAAGTCAACCCTCCAATTGCTCCCCAACAATGTATTATTATTTATTCTTCATAAGCCATTTTAATTAATAGTTAATTAAGGACCTTACCCCTATCGTTATTTTCTGTAGTACTTATATTCCTTTAAAGTATTCTTTAGTTGTCTGCATATTTGCTTCCAAATGAAATTATAACCTCCTCCACGGCAAGAATGTGTCTTTTGCATTTTCAGCAGTCTCAATGGAACCTGGGTAAGTTATTTAAGTCTAGGTTCTATGGAGACTATTGATTTAATGATCATTGAATTAATTCATTATTTTAGAGCTATGTTTAGAATAGAACTTAATGACCCAAGGAAATAAGCAGCAATTTCATCTTTTACTTATAAAATCAATGAAATCTTATGGACTGAAGATATCTCCTGTGTACTGAGAGAAATGAGAAGCCAACCCAACTGATGCAACAGTGTAAACATTTGCAACACAATTTTCTGGCACTTCTTGGTTTCACAGAAAACTATTATATTCCTTAATAAAAGGGCAAATGTTGTTAATGTTTTTGCAAGAAAAATCATTATATGGTTAAACTAAAAAAAATTAGACTAATTCTGTATGTTTTGTTTTAGATGCCAGCATTATACATGAGAATACTATTTTATAGAATCTCTTCTTTCAAGTAAAATGTGTTAATTTTAGAATATTATGCTTAATTTTACATAAAGTGAGATCATGTGAACTCTAGCTAAATTCAAAGTCTTAGCTCCTTTCTAGAGTTTCTGATAGTATATA